CTTATTATGTGCCAGTCAGTGTTTTAGTCTCTGGGGATGTAGCAGTAAACAAGATGGAAAAGTCCATGCCCTCCTGGGGGTGTTAGAGTGAGCAGGACTGAAGCCATATTGGGACATAAAACTGCATGGGCTGTATGCAAATTTTTAAAAGACACAGGTTTTGTTTTGTTTTGTTTTTTTCTTGGCATGCATTTCTCTGAGTTCCCTCTTTTCCCGTGGTCATTTATATTTTAAACCTTGGTTACGGGGCAAGATGACATTATTTACATGAATGTTAACTTGTTTTCCAGCCAACCTGAAGCTGCAGACTTCCCACAAGACACCTCCTACCCAGACACCCTGAGATAACAGCAAGGACAGGAGCAGAAACCAGATGGAGCCTTGGTGAGAATTTGCACCTAGTCCCTTGCATGTGACCCTCGCTCCTGCTTTTCATTTCTCACGTTCCACTCCCTCAGCCCCCTCTTTAAAAACCTCTCAATAAATCTGAGTCTTTGAGATGGCTTTAGCCTGGTCATTCTCCTTCAGGTTTACCAGAGAGACGGGTTAGCCCAACATCTCTCCTCAAGTCACTGGTATTCCTGAATAAAAGCTGACTTCCATTTTTACCAACACTTGACTTTTGGGTTGTTTGTTTTTTGTCTGAGAGCAGGCAGCTGGACCTGTGAGTTTGGTATCAATTTTAGGGAGCTGGGAGCCGAATGGACCCTGCAAAAGGGGGAGAGAGAATAAACAAGTAAACAATGGAGCAGGATAAGGGATGAGAAAGGGTCTGGGGTGGTGAGTGCCATTTTATTTTATTTATTTATAAATTTTTTGTGGCTGGCTGGTACAGGGATAGAACCCTGGACCCTGGTGTTTTCAGAGGAATTTAATATGTAGGAAAAAATTGAATCTTTAAGGACTCATATTTAAGGAGCATGTATAAAAGTAATAATTATGAAATTAAAACCGTAAGTCAAACCGTAAGAAAATACTAGAACAGCTAAAAGCCATCATCTGTGTACCATTTCGTCTTGGAAAACAGAAATAAAATATTTATTTATGTGAATAATGTTTTTTACAAGTTTAATACTTAGGGCCGGCCCGGTGGCGCACTGCTACAGTGCGCCGCTTGGGAGTGTGGCGGCGCTC